CCCCTATAGTAGCGTCCTTGCTCCTAGTAGTAAGGCCAGGAGCCCCTATAGTAGCGTCCTTGCTCCTAGTAGTAAGGCCAGGAGCCCCTATAGTAGCGTCCTTGCTCGTAGTAGTAGGGCCAGGAGCCTCTAGTAGCCTCCTTGCTCCTAGTAGTCTAGTATTGTCCTTGCTCCTAGTAGTAAGGCCAGGAGCCCCTATAGTAGCGTCCTTGCTCCTAGTAGTAAGGCCAGGAGCCCCTATAGTAGGAGAGCCCCTATAGTAGCGTCCTTGCTCCTAGTAGTCGGGCCAGGAGCCTCTAGTATTGTCCTTGAAGCCCCTCGGCACAAAATGGTGCAAGACACCGCCCTCCACCAGCGGAGCTTAGCTGGTCCGCCATGTTTCTATGGCCATGGACTTCCTTGCTGGTGATCCTGTGCTCCACTGCACCTTCCGTGCCGCCTGGTCCCAAGTCCAGGGCCGTCCGCATGGATTGCTTCGACGTGAATGAGTGGCTTGAACATCAGTCGAACAGTTTTTTTTGATGGATTTTTGGACGGTAGGGGTGAGGGTGAGGTACTGACCATGCAGTACCTCGAAAGGGATAGTTTGTATGTGCCTTATGATACTATCCCTGAAAGACATGGTCCAGGGCAAGTAGGGTCTTTCGAGACCAAATTGAGGGTAAGGCGCCTACCTGTTAAGCGATCTTTTGCAAGGGCCATGAAGCGATTGCAGCAAACTGGTTTCTGCGTATATCGTGGACAAGTTCATACTCAGCCTGTCTCTGCACCAGCTGACCCTTCGATCTTGACGCCCCCGAGATGCACACCTCGAAAGGCCTCGGGACCGAGACTAAGCTGCATGACCTGGAACTGTGGTGGACTTACCACCGACACGTATCATGAACTGCTCCTTTGGCTCTCTCTTCACAGGATTGATGTTTGCTTCGTTCAAGGGACAAGATGGGGGATGGACGAACCCTGGGAAAGCAACGGTTTCGCATTAGTGCCATCTCCTGCACAGGACCATGCACACGATGGACTTCTTACCATCATTCGCACACAGCTTTGTCCGACATCCGCCATCAGCCATGCCAACATCCTTGAAGGTCGGCT